CCTGGCAGTCCATGGTACATTCAATACTCTTCTCCAGCACCACAGCTCAAAGGCATCAATTCTCCTTCTGTCCTCCCTAGTCATTGTCCAGCTCTGTGATGCATAACAAGTGATTGCAAAGACCATGGCCTGTATGAGGCGGACCTTAGTCTCCAGAGAGACACCGTTGCTCTTGAGTACTTTAGAGAGGTCCCTAACAGCAGACTTGCCCATCGCAATACTTTTTTTTTTTTTATTTCCTGGCTGCTGGTGCATGATTAGCTTAAAATAACTCATTTCCCTCCTCACTGGACATTCCATCATATGTTCTTTTTTTTCTCCCCCTGCCCTTTAAGATCCCTGCAGTAAAAGATTAACTTATCTACTCTAGTGTCAACTCTGGAAACCATGGCCGTCTCCTTTTCTTGGTTTCAGTGTGGCTTGGGTTATGGAAGGTGTCAGTGAAACAAGGAGGGCCATCTAGTCTATGGAAGAGATGAAATGGCCAATACTGGATATCCCAAAGAAAGTAGTTCATCAGCAAGTCTTAGACATGAGAGAGGAAAACAAAGTAGGACTCCCTTTCTTTATGTTTCCAGATTATGAAACCAAGAGGTGCAATGCGACAAGCAAAAGAACAGTGCTGGAAGCTGGAAATAACACAATGGATATTGACTGTAACCATTATTTCAAAGAAACCACAGAAGGTAATGTTAAAGATGAGTTTTAAAATGGGCTCTCTTAACCTCTAAATTCTAGATAAAATGTCTCATTTGTAGGTGGCTAGGCCCAGGGATGAAAGAGTGTCATATTGTTTAAATATACATGTTACAAGTGGGGACTTTAAGAAACAGAAATGTGTTTTCTCACAGATTAAGAATCTCTAAGTCCAAATTCAAGGTATAGGATCTGTTGTTGGTGGTGTTGTTGTTATGTACCGTCAAGTCACTTGCAATTCATAGCGACCCTATGTACAGCAGCCCTAAACCCTGCCCTATTCTGGTCCAATCGCACTGCCTCTGACACATCCATCCCAATTACCCCAGTCACTGAATCAATCCACCTCATAGAGGGTCTTCCCTCTTGTGCCATCCCTCCACCCTCAAAAGCATGATGTCTCTCTCCAAGGACCTCTCCCTCCTTACAACATGTCCAAAGTATGTCAGACAAAGCCCCAGAATCCTTGCCTCCACGGAGCGGCCTGGTTTAACCCTCTCCAGGATGAATCTGTTTGTTTTCTTGGCAGTCCATGGTACATTCAATACTTTTCTCCAGCACCACAGCTCAAAGGCATCAGTTCTCCTTCTATCCTCCCTAGTCATTATCCAACACTCTGATGCACAACAAGTGACAAGTGATAGCAAAGACCACGGCCTGTATCAGACACACCTTAGTCTCCAGAGTGACACCATTGCTCTCGAGTACTTGAGAGATGTCCCTAATAGCAGACTTACCCATTGCAATATGCTTTTTTATTTCTTGGCTACTGGTGCCAAGAGTGTTGACCGTGGAGTCAAGCAGACTAATGTTGTTAACAATCTCAATCTCTTCACCATCCATCCTGATGCTGCCAATTGTTCCAGTGGTGAGAATCTTTGTCTTCTTGACATTGAGCCTCAATCCATATTGAAAGCTGTAGTCCTTGGCCCTCTGCAGCAAGCACTTCAGGTCCTCCTCAGTTTCAGCAAGCAGTGTTGTGTCATCTGCATAACGCAGATTGTTAATAGATCTTCCACCAATCCTGACACCACACTTCTCCTCCTAGAGCCCAGCCTCTTGGATAATCTGTTCTGCATACAAGTTGAAAAGGTATGGAGATAGAACATATTCCTGGCATACACCTTTCCCAATTTTGAACCATGCATTGTTTCCTTGCTCTGTTCTGATGATTGCCTCTTGGTCCAAGTATAGGTTTCGCATGAGCACGATTAAATGTTCTGGGATTCCCATTCTTCTCAGAGTCAGCCACAGTTTGTTATGGTCCACACAGTCAAATGCCTTTGCATAATCAATGAAACACAGATAGACATTCTTCTGGTAGTCCCTGCTTTCAGCTAAGATCCATCTAACATCAGCTACAATATCTCTAGTACCACGACCCCTTCTAAACCCAGCCTGGACTTCTGGCAGTTCTCTGCTGATGTGCTGTTCCAGTCGTTTTTGGATAATCTTCGGTAGAATCTTGCTTGCATGTGAAATCAATGAGATTGTTCTATAGTTTCCACACTCAGTTGGGTCACCCTTCTTTGGAATGGGAACAAATATACATGGTATAAGAGCTAGGGTGATGTTTTCTCTCTCTGTTAGCTTTGAGAGGATTCTTATCTCTGTCAAGGTTCTGTCTCTTGGTGCCTTCAGTGTGTAATAGCTCTCTTCCATTATCTCTGCTTCCTCCTTTGCTTAATTTCTTTTCTATTTGAAAAGATATTGACTTAAGCCAAACCCCACAGGATAATATGTCAACATAATGAAGAACACCTGTTCCTAGATGAGAATAAAACCACAGACATGCTGTTGTTGTTTGAAAGTGCCTCTATGTCCACTGAGATTCATAGTGACCTTATGAAGAACAGATCTGAGCCTTCTTCCTACCTGTGCCATCATCACCGTCTCCAACTCCTTGAACTCATGCTACAGTCACCATGTCAGTCTATCTTGTTTGTGGGTCTTCCTATCTTACACTAACCTACAACCTTTTCAGGCATGATGTTCTTCTCCAAGCAGTGGCTATTTCTAATAATACCCCTAAAACATGTGAGATCTATGCCTAAAAATATGGGAGATAAGGATATTCACCAATCTTGCCTCTAAGGAACACTCTGGTTTCCCTTTTCCAGGACAGACCTACTTTTCTCTTTATTAAGACAAACTATGAAGAAGGATGGGCCATCTACCTCTACAACAACAGTCCTTCCTAAACCCTATCTATATACCACAGGATTAGAGGTTAGGATTTATAATACATGTTTTTGGACAACATAATCCAATTTCTAATGATAACCCAAATTTTTTGCAGTGAAATTAAAAGCTAATAATGAGACATCATGGTTGAAGTACTCTTATAAGAAGTGTGTGCTTTGGGACACATCGAAATTCAAACAGGGACCTCTTGACAATCTCCCTTTAAAGAAATTAGTTGATTCATTTCCCATATCCTTGAGATGCTTTAAAATGGCAACTACCCAACTCAATATGACACAGTGTTAGATGCTTTTATGAACACCTTTTCTTTGGAAAAGCAGTTTTGTCATGGAAATAAGAAGTGTGTTTTTAGAAGCCTAAATAAAATTTTAACTGATTCTCTACCAAATTAGAGGCTTTTCCAGACTCTTGGATTTTTGTGGTTTTTTTGTTTGTTTGTTTTGAGGTTTTTTTTTTGCATAATAGGAGCTAATATCTTAAGATTCCAAGGCTATTACTAAGGATATTATAAAGAAATTTTTGTCCAAACGTCACTGTCTTTTAATCTATATACTTATGGGCATCCAATTCCTAAACAACATGCCTCCAGAAACTGTAAGAATTTTAATAAAAGTCAATAGTTATAGAAAGGCTTCAAGCCTTGAGTGTTTTAGAAATCTTTGTGGTATAATATACATAACAAAACATATATGGACTCAATAAATTCTACGTGCACAGCTCAGTGACATTATTACCACCCAAAGCTGTGCTATGCACCCTTTCTCATTATCCTTTTCTAGAGGATTCTACGACCATATGCAGATGCTCAGGACCTTGCAGTAACATTCCCCCTATTCATGTCCCTCCACCCCTGGTCATCACTAACCGTAAAGTGTAGTCATACAATATTTCTCTTTTTCTCATTTGCCCTATGGTGATCAGAAGGAGTAGGACTTCATTTCTCTTCATGGATGAAATCCTTCAGGAATATTATTATCACTTTTTCCTCTTTCCCACAAGTTGACCCTTCTTGTCTCTACAGACCCAGATGGGAAAATATTCTTTGGTGTTCAGACTATACAATCTCTTTTGACAGGACTTGGACATTCTGTTGTGGTGTGAAAGCAGAATTGTTGTTGTTAAGTGTCATTGAGTCGTTGACTACTCATAGTGACCATATGCAGGAAAGACCTGAACACTTGTATAACTTTTATCCTTTCTCCACGTTCATAGGGTTCCTGAAGGCAAACTATTTTGGAAGTGGATGCCACTCCTGCTTCCAAGCTTGTTTTAATCGGGGAGCTCCACCAAACACTGTCCGTAACATAAATGAGTAACCATGACTATGTTCCAACAAAATATCATTTAAAAAACAGGTAGCTGGCCCTCAAGCAAACTCCCTTCTATCCCTCTTTGCCTTATTTAAGTCTTTGTACCGTACTTACCACATTGTAATGTTACATTGTCTTCCGTTTCTAATATATCTTCCATTTCTACTGTCTTACCTTTTGTCCATTTCTACCAGTGCAATGTCATTTCTTTGGTGGCAGAAACCTTATTTTGCTCACTGTTTTATTTGCCATTCCAAGAAAATTATCTTGCATACACTAGGTGTTTAACAAATATTTGATACAATGAGTGAACATAAGATATTTCAAAAAGAAAGACCTGGTTACTTTGAGAGAGTGTAATGAGTACTTCCAGAAAATTCCTAGCTATTAACTAAACTTTGCCTTCAACTGTGAGCGTGAGGATGATAGTGGACAGGAAAAGACTTAAAAAGAACATATAAATAATAACAATGGGAGGGCGATACATAAATAATGCTCGTTTATGAAGCACTGTCTTATTCTATAGGATGCATACACATGTATGAATAAATTCTATTTGCATGAAAAAAGAGGAAGAGAAGTAGATATGTTAGGGAGGAGAGAGAGAATGGAAAAGGGGGAGGGGTGAAGGTGAGAGAAAGAGAAAGTATCCTAGTGGCAAAAGACAGAAGATCAAGGTCAACTTTAAGGAGCAAGAGATGAAGAAAAGAAAATCAAGATCTTAAAGAAAAATAGAGAGATTCTCAAGAAGATAGTGATGAATGAGAAACAATGGAGGTCTTAGAGACAGGGATGCAGTTAAGGAAATCTGAGTTGTAAAAGGATGGTGGATCAGCATTCAAAGGCACAGTGGAATGGAATAACCTTCATGCTTTTCCAGGCAACTGGAGTCTCAGAGTGAACTTGAAATGGAAGGTGAGAACATGTCTTTTCTTTGTCCCATTTGAGGTCCACTTGCCTCTCTGAGGGCTAAATGCTTGCCTCCTGATCCTGACTTAATGTTTAAGGACTCAAAGATATTTTCCCAGCACATTTCTTTGCCTGTTTTGCACAGGTGTCTCTTATATATTAAATAATCATAAAATGTGTTTTAATACAAAACCTCTTTGCTCAAAACTATACATCCTGGAGAGCATTATGCTGAGTGAACAAACTCAGTTCCACAAGGATGACTATGGGATAAAACCGTTATTGTAGAGTGAGTATAAGGATCCCAGAGGGGTGGGAGAGGTAGGAAGCGGAGGGATGAGGCTTTGCAGGGGCAGTGGGAACTAATCATGAGGCTGTACAATTTGATGGGTGGAGGGTGAGAGAATTTGGAAGAATTTGTTCTTGAAAACAATGTATTTGAATTTTGTAAATAAATTAGTAGAAAGGAGGGTAAGGGGAGTAAAAGTTAATAAATCAACAAATTGGGTGAAGGAAAAGGCAATAATACACAATAAAGGGTCATGGTTGTTGTTGTTGTGTGCTTTTGAGTCATTTGGGACTCATAGTGACCCTGTGTACAACTCTGCTCTATTGTGAGCCAATTTCATTGTCTCTAACACACCTACCCCCATTACCCGAGTGACTGAGTCAATCTATCTTGTCTAGGATCTTCTTCTCTTAGACAAAAGAGAAAAGTTGACCAGACATTGTAATGAATTCGTTTAATGAAATTAATCAATGCTAACTAATGTTATAAAATGCAATGCCTATGAATGTATGAAAAAACAATATGATTTGTAAGTCTTCAAATGAAAAAGAAATATTTTTTTAAAAAAACTATGTGTGGTATATTATATGTGACATTTAATGCATTTCCGATGTCCATTTTAATCATGTAGAAGGTTTCCTTATGACTCTTGCCATCATACTAGGGTGAACTCTCCAAACTATGGAAACTCAATGAAATTATTTCTGTTCTCTAGTTGTAGGTCAGAGTGCTGTTGCATTTATCAATTACCGAACTCTTGGAAATTTTCTCAACGGATCCTTCTTTCATGACAGGAAAAGATTACAGGAAGTTAAAATAAACTCTCACATTGTGAGTGGCACTTTTGGTTCAAAGAAAACTGTTTATTTGACCACACCTGTGTTCCTATCCTTTAAACACACTCAGGTAAGCAAAACCAAAGACTATCAAATAAGGAAGTAAGCACAACAAAAACTATACCAGTTGCCATTGAATCAACTCTGAGTCAGTGACCTCACACGTGTCAAAGTAGAACTGACTTTGTTTTAGCAAGTAGATCATCGATCTGTTACTTCAAGGTACCATGGGTGTACTTGGTCCTCTCACCTGTCAGATGCTCAGCACATTAACTGTTCATACCTCCACACTCTTTACCCCAGGAGCCTTTGAAAGAATGGAGAGTGTTAGCAGAGTTCTGGTAGGAAACTGATGAATCAATCCTGATGATTCGGACTCAGGAGAACTGACAAAGGCAGATGAGTCTTCCATCCTATGACTTCCCAAAGACTGCTACAATGGGGAGTCATGATCATATTTTAACCTATAGGGACAACTCTGAAATTAGAATTGTTAACACCAGGGAGGACAGAAGAATGAAAGAGAGCTTGTTCGGATGAGAATAGAAAAGTTAGTTGACATTGAATTCGCTTCTATTCATGATCTTTGGTTTGTGTGAATTCAATGTTGTGAGCACCGTGTCTGTGCATCTTTTTGAGGCTTTTTTTTCCATCTTTGCTGGACATTCATTTAAGCAAACATCAGGTCTCCTCCTCCTTTTTTTTTTTTTTGTAAATAGTTTTTCTTTATTTCACATCCATTGTAAGTGATTCAAAGTCCTACACAATATTTTGTGACTCATTGACTAATGAAAATGCTCACAGAGACTCTCTCTCACACACACACAGAGTGAGAGAGAGAGACCCAAACATTGCCAATATTGTGAAGATTACTCAAGATTCTGCAATGTTTTTCTGTTACTACGGGGTCACTTCTATGGCTAACAACAGTTTTCAGAAATGTATTGCTGTTGATTGCCTTCAAGTCGAGCATGACTCCTAGTGACTCTATGAACAAAAGGCCTGAAGAGCCACTACAAATATTGACATTTATCTAAGTTCATCGTGTTTCCAGAGGCATGTTATTTAAGAAGTGGATGCCATTTCTGCTTCCAAAGAAATATATTTCCAGAGTCTACCTTAGCCTGGAAGCCCCCCTGAAATTTATCCACCATGGATGACCCTGCTGGTATATGAAATGCAGATGGCACTGAGCACAACATTACCCCAAGACACTATTTTAAGAAAAAACGAATTTGTGTGAAAAGAAAACCTGAAATCTGTCTTCTCTTCCCCAGTAACTTCTTACCAAAGTCTTTTTTATAACATTTTGGAAACCAAAGCAGCCACCAAGGAGCCTATTGAAGCCTTTCATGAAGGTCAATCTCCAGGTCACTGAGATGAGTGCAGAAAATTAATAGACTCCACAGAACAGTTTATGGTGTGAAACTCTTCCCCACATGTACTCAAGACAGTAGAATTTGTTTAATCCAATCTCCACTGCATCGTGTCTTTGATTAATCTATAAAATTCAAATAATAAACCGTAAAGAGAAGAACTTCTATTGTATTCTTTTTCCAGCCTGCTGGTGCGAGAGCAAAACATTTCTGTGTCTACTGGGATGGATCGAAGGCAGGGGGCAGCTGGTCGACGGAGGGCTGCTCTTACGTGGAAAGCGATGATTCTTACACCAAATGCCAATGTTTCCATCTCTCCAGCTTTGCTGTCCTCATGGCTCACACACCCCAGGTACATAGAATTACAAATGCAGCAACATCTAGCCGCAACACAGTATGTATTTACGCATTATATATAAGTGAGATCATACAGTACTTGTCTGTCTGTAACTGATGTTTCAAGATTCATCAATGGTATGATACACACCGCATCAGGACTTCATCGCATTTTAAGGATGAGAAATAAATTCCACTGAAGGTGAATTGAAAATACTGCAATGGTGCATTGATGGAGAATAGCCATACATCCAAGCTGTATTTAGTAAAGGACCAAGAAAAAAGGATTATCTTCGCAGATGTCAGATATCGTAGCTAAAAGCAGAAAACTCAGAAGATGTTTACCTGTGTTTTCACAGCGTTGGGTTGTGGGAATAATAAAAATTTAGTAAATAGCATTGCAGAAAGATTGTGAGGATGGCAAAAACCTGGGGAACTTTTCTTCTTTTGTGCTTAAACTTACAATGGATTGTAATGAACTCAGAAGACATAGTCACAATAATATTCTGTTTTAGGGTTGAACCAATTAGGTTTATCCATTCACCTGTTGATGGACATTTAGATTACCTCCACCTGTTGCCAATTGTCATTAGTTCTACCTTGAACATTGGTGTCCAAGTTAGAATGAAAGATAATTTTAACATATTCTCAACAAAACTCCTTGTCATTGAGTTAGAATAGTATCAGAGCTGAATGTCCAATGGGTTTTCAAGGGGTTGTCAATCACATGGGAGGAGACTTCTCATCTTTTCTAAGGAGGCACTGGTACATTTGAACTGCAGAGAGATGTAGGGCTATGCCTATGCCAAATAAAATACACAATGACATTTATTTTACCCATTGCTTTTTAGATTATGTGTTACTGTATTGGAAAATGTATAACATGATATTTATATTACATAGTTCTGGACTAGTAGTTTCATTTTCTAATAACCTCATCTGGTTCTTAAGTCTTCTTGAGTAGATTTTGACTCATAATGACAGATGAGAACTGTCCCAAAGGGTTTTTCTAAACGGATGTGATGGTTACAGGAAGAGATCTCTACACCTTTCACTCTCAAAGTCACTTGTTTACAACCACTAACCATTATGCTTGTATTTGGCCTGCTATTTAAAAAAGCATTTGGTCACCAGAATGGGGCTAGAATCCAGGTGTTGAGTATTTTGAAACAGCCTGACTCTACAGAGGTCTGATCTCTGCTTCTGGTAAGAGTTTGGGTGCAATGTTTACTGGCCATTGGCTGTGAGTTCATTGTATCCGGCCTCCTATTTAAAAATGCATTTGGGCCCTCAGGCCTGATTTTAATTGTTTTTGGTCAAATATTCTTCTAAGTGGTATAGTACTAGTCTGTCAATTTGCTGTAGAGAGGTAACTCGTGGTTGCAGTGATACTGAACTCTGGGACAATGTCATATGCAATAATGGTTACCCATGGTGTAGTGTTTGGTGGAGCTCGCTGATTAAAACAAGCTTGGAAACAGGTGCCTCTGGAAATTCTATGAACTTGGAGAAATGATGGAAATTATGCAAGTGTTCAGTCTTTCCTTCATAGGGTCACTATGGGTCATCTATTATTCAACAGCACTTAACAACAACAACAACAATTGTGATAGTAACCAAATATTTAACCAGTGAGTCCCCTTATGTTCTTCAGATAGAATAAGCAATTTTCTGAAAGGTTTAAGTAACTTGCTTGAGGGGTGTTTGAGCTAGGAAGACCATCTTTCTCACCAATAGGGACACAACTGCTGAACTGAGAACTATAAGATTCCTTCCTTCACGGCTCACAGGCAGACCTAATGCTGACTATTATCACCCACGTGGGGCTGAGCCTCTCCCTGCTGTGCCTCCTCCTGGCGGCCCTCACCTTCCTGCTGTGCCGGCCCATCCAGAACACCAGCACCTCGCTGCACCTGCAGCTCTCCATCTGCCTCTTCCTGGCCCACCTGCTCTTCCTCACGGGGATTGACAAAACTGAGATCAAGGTAGGAAGTTTGAATTGCTTTCTTGTCTTAAGCAAATACCTCCATCTTCCTCTGAGTAAACATGAGGATAGAGAGGTGATGTCAAGGATTGAGCTAGAGAAGTAACAAAGGGCTTAGGGTAGAAGAGACGGTGACTTCAACTTTAAATTTGTTAAACTGAATGTTCTTATCAGACAAGTGAGTGGAGATAGTCAATAGACCATTGGAAAGAAGACCCTAGAGACGAGGAAAGACCCAAGTGTGTTAATAATCCAACTGTCCTCACAAAAATTTGTGTTAAAATCCTAAACCCTTTGTCTATTGTTTTTGGTTTTGGGTTTTTGTTTGTTTGTTTGCTTGTTTGTTTGCCCTTTGTCTATTGTTGAAATCCCATTTGGGAGTTTGTTATATTAATTAGAACATATAAAGGTAGTTGTTGTTAGTTGTCAACAAGTTTTCCAATGCATGATGTCACATTTCCAGAGTAGAATTAAACTTAATATAATTTTACATTTCTGAGTGATACAAAGAGCAATTTAAACACAGAGACAAACAAGCCCAAATATAGGAAGGTAGATGTCATGTGAAGATGGCCAAGGAGCTGAGTGAGTAATTAAACATTTAGTGTCTGATCCAACCTCTCCGCTCTCCTCCCCCTCCAGGTGCTGTGCTCCATCATCGCAGGTGCCCTGCACTACCTCTACCTGGCCTCCTTCACCTGGATGCTCCTGGAAGGGCTACACCTGTTCCTCACCGTCAGGAACCTCAAGGTGGCCAACTACACCAGTGCAGCGAGATTCAAGAAGAGGTTCATGTTCCCTTTTGGCTACGGGATCCCAGCGATCATTGTGGCTGTGTCTGCAAGCACTGGATACAAAAATTATGGAACAAGCAGCCAGTAAGCTTGATGCGTGCATTTGTGGGTGGGAGTGGTGCCCATAGCAATAATCCAAAACTAGACCCATTGCCATCAAGTCGCTGTGACTCATAGTGAAAAACCAGTGCTGTGAGTAGAGTTACACCACAGGGTTTCAGTTATGATTTCTACAGAAAGGAGCCCTGGTGGTGTACCTGTTATGCATCTGGTTACTAACTCAATTGTTGGTGGATCAAACTCAACCAATGGTTGACAGATTGACCTCATGATCTGCTTCTGAAAATATTACAACCTGAAAGTATTATAAACATTCACTGTTGTTTTCATCACAATCTAGAAACACTGTGATTTGATTCTGTTCCTGTATATCATTGGCAGCTGGAATTAACTCCATAGCAAACAACAAGAACAACATTTCTAAAACAGGTCTTCAGGACTTTCTTCCACAGCTAAGCTGCTGTTAGGTGTTGTTCACAACTCTGAATACAATAAAACAACACCCTGCCTGGTCCTGCAGCACACTAACCCTCTATGGTACACTTTTATGTGAAGTAGCCATATAAATTCTTCCCACAGGGGCACTTCCTTTGTTATTGCTGACTCTCCACTTTTTCAAACACAACAAAGTGGATTCAGATAGACCTTTTATGCCTTTAAAACAGTGTACTGACATCTAGTTGATTCCAACTCATAGTGATCTTTCCTTTGGTTTCTGAGGCTGTAAATGTTTTGTTTTGTTTTGTTTTGTTTTTACTTGGTTTTATTATATTTATGCCCACTTTTAGGGGGAGGGCACTCAAGATCCTTCCTGTGCTACAGGAGTTTGCTGTGAGAGGCTGTAAATATTAACAGAAGGAAACTTGAACTGTTGTAGACGGGTAACATTGTTGTTGTTATGTGGCATTGAGTCACCTGCAACTCATAGCAACCCTATGTACAATAGCTCTGAACCCTGCCCTGTCCTGACTCTGACATACCTAGCCCCATTGCCCCAGCTTCTATATTAATCCATTTTATCAGGGGTCTTCCTCTCTTGGGCTGTCCCTCCACCCTTCCAAGCATGATGCCCTTCTCCAAGGACCGGGCCACATGCCCAAAGTGAAATGTGAAATATTTCTTTTCCTAGCAATCCATAGCCTGTTCAAAACTCTTCTCCAGAACTACAGCTCAAAGAAATTGATTCTTCTTCCGTCATCCTTAGTCATTGTCCAGCTCTCTGATGCATAGCAAGCAATTGCAAAGGCCATGGTTTAGATCAGGTGCACTTTAGTTTCCAAACTGACATCATTGATTCTAAGTATTCTGGAGAGGTCCTTAACAGCAGATTTTTAGTAACTTAATAAATGCATATTCTAATGGATAAGTAAGACAAATCTGTGTTCCACATTGGGTTACATGTTCTATATGATTCTGAAATAGTTGAAAAGGCAGAGGTTAACTTCCAAAATGTAAAGAATGATAGTAGTAATAATTACAGGAGACTTGATGAAATGGGGTATTGGACAAAAGTAATAAATATGTTATAGACTGCCAAATTAAGAAACAAATCTGTTTTGAAGGAAGTCCAACTAGACTATTTCTTAGAGACAAAGATGGTGAAACTCCGTTCCACTTTTTTGGATCATAGTTTGAGGATGGACCAGTCTTTGGAGAGTGAATTCTGCGGGAAAAGATAGACGGTCTGTGAAAGAGAGGACGATCTTTAACAGGATGGATTGACACAGAGAGTACCACAGTGGCCTTGAGCATGACACAGTTAATGAAGATGATGCCGGATAGGCTGTTCATATGGTTGCTGTGCATTGTATTGTACTTGACTCGATGGCCCATACCAACAGCAACAACAACAATGGTGATAAAGTGTAAGAAGTTATAATACCTAATTATAACTAGTGCTTGGCACTATTTTCACACTTTTCTTTTTATTAGTTTGCATATGCATATGTACTGTTTTTAGGTGATTTCGAGTCGAGGACTACTTATAGTGTGACCCTTTGAAGAACAGATATGATCCCTATCCTATCCTATCCTATCCTATCCTATCCTATCCTATCCTTTCCTATCCTGTGCCATCCTCACACTTTCTGACAAACTGGAGCCCATTACAGCAGTCACCGTGTCATTCTACCTGGATGAGGGTCTTCTCCTTCACTGACCCTCCATCCTTCATCATGACCATCTCCAACTAATAGCCCCTCCTAGCAACAGACTCAAAGTATGTGAGCACTCTAGCTGCACCCTCTCCAAGACATATTTGTTTGTTCTTTTGGCAGTCCATGGGATATTCAGTGCTCTTCTCCAACATCACAGCTCAAAGGCATCAATTCTATTTCTGTCATCTTTATTCATTGTCTGGCTCTTAGATGCATAGCAAGTGATTGGAAAGACCAAGGTTAAATCAGTTGCGCCTGAGTCCTCAGTGTGAAATCATTATTCCTCAATAATTTAGAGAGGTCCCTAAGTGCAGATTTTCCCAGTGCAATGTGTATCCTTATTTTCTGACTGCTGGTACCAAGGATGTTAATTGTGTATCCAAGTTAGATAAGGTGTTGACAGTTTCAATCTCTTCTCCATTCATCATGATGTTGCCTATTGTTCCAATGGTAAGAATCTTTGTTTTCTTGACACTGAGATGCAATCCACACCACATTCTTTGATTTTTAGAACATACATATGAAGCAATTGAAAAACCATGACTTTTGTCAGGCTCCCCTTAGTTTGCAAAGTCACAACATTTCTTTTGAATTGTGATATTGGTGAACATTACTGATTGTACTGTAACTACCACAAGAATAAGAAAATCAGCCTTGATAGAAGTGTAGCAAAATGCTAATAACAAGTGAGTGTGTTAAAACTTCATGTCACATACTTGGACATGATAGCTGGTAAGACCAGTCCCTGGAGAATTACACCATACTTGGTGAAATAGAGGGTCGACAAAACAAAGGAAGATACTCAGTAAGATGGACTGGCACCGTGGTGGCAACAATGGGCTAAGCAAAGCAATGCCTGTTCGAATGGACAAGACTGAGTGCAACAATGAATGAATGGAAATCCAAAATCTCTGTACATGTTCATTAAAATTAATAAAATAAAAAAACAAACAAAAAATTGGGAGACAAACGTGTTTCAGTGTTAAAAGTATATTGTCAGAAGTCTAAAATGTAGCTTGTAAGCAAAAGTTTAGAATGTTAAAAATTAGCAAGCAAATGTGTCAGATAGATAAAGCTGAAAGGAGAGAATGTGGAATGCCCTCTCGCTTTCCTGATCAAAAGATGCTTTATTTGAATGTGTCAATCAGAAAAGCTGTTTTAAGTCCAGAGGCCAAAGTGTGTATTGTTGTTGTTGTTATGTGCCATCGAGTCGTTTGCGACTCATAGCGACCCTATGTACAACAGCCCTAAACCATGCTCTATCCTGTGCCAATCACATTGCCTCTGACACACCCATCCCGATTACCCCAGTCACTGAATCTATCCACCTCATAGAGGGTCTTCCCCTCCTGTGCTGTCCCTCTACTCTACCCAGCATGATGTCCCTCTCCAAAAACCTGTCTCCCCTTAAAGCCCCAGAATCTTTGCCTCCAAGGAGTAGCCTGGTTTAACTCTCTCTAGGACGAATCTGTTTGTTTTCTTGGCAGTCCATGGTACATTCAATACTCTTCTCCAGCACCACAGCTCAAAGGCATCAATTCTCCTTCTGTCCTCCCTAGTCATTGTCCAGCTCTCTGATGCATAACAAGTGATTGCAAAGACCATGGCCTGTATTAGGCGCACCTTCGTCTCCAAAGAGACACCGTTGCTCTTGAGTACTTGTGTGTATTAGGAGAAGAAATAGTCCAATTCTGATTGGCTACATTTCAGGAGGGGGATGCTTCAGGACAGCAGATGCTTATATGAAGACGAATAATCTCAATTCTGATTGGTGAAACCCTGGCTCTGGGAGACCTGTATTGAAATTACTCCCTGAATGGAATAATGCATAAAAACCTGACCCTGGATTGTAACCTAGAGATCTTGACAGAGATGATCTTGATATCTGACATCTCTTCACTCTCTACAGCCTCTTGCCGAATTTCGCCACCAACAGTCAGCTGTGGTGAATGTTTTGCTTGTTGGAATACTGTCTATGAGTAATTAGTAGCTAGATATAATTGCTTGGATATTAATACTTGATTGACTGATTGTTAATATTTTAAATGCCTTTAATGCATTTGATTTTATGTGAATATAAATGGGCTTCTCACCTCAGAGCTTCTAGTAAAGTGTGTGATTTGGAAAAATAAAAAGAAAGGACAAGACTGGGCAACATTTCATTCCATTCTACAAACAGTCACTGTGAGTCAAGACAATTTGAGCACCTATTTAGCATCAGTCTCTTTAGCCTATTTAGCAACTCCTATCAACAAATCGTTTTACTTTTATGAGACGCAATCACTACACAGCTTGTACAATCTACACAGCAATGACACCAAAGGGTGGCTCACTGGTCTACCTAGCAGGTGGAAGAGAAAGTGTGATTTGACACCTGGGCCCATAGGGAGTCCACTCAAGGACAACTAGGACCTTGCCACTTTCTCTCCTTGAGAAATAGACCCCTAATGATTTTTTTTGTTCTCTTTTAACAGTTGCTGGCTGAAGTTTGATAAAGGCTTTATCTGGAGCTTCATGGGGCCGGTGGCTGTTATTATCTTGGTAAGTAACAAAAGATAGACCTGTATTGGTGTTCTAGTGCTGGGTTCCAGACCCCTGGTAGCACAATGATTAAGCACTCCAACTGCTAACTGAAAGGTGGAATGTAATCTAAATGGTTTGTCTCTAGTCTTGTCCCTGTCCGTATGTTCCACCACCTGCAAGGGGGTTGCAAGGGGGATACACAAATCATTGGCAGGTTAGGTATGAAGAATTTCCTAAAGGAAATAATTTTCGTTAAATTGTCCATATGTTCCACCATATGCAAGGTGGTTGCAAGGGGGATACGCAAGTCATTGGCAGATTTAGTATGAAGACTTTCCTAAAGGAAATATATTTTCATTAAATGGTGCCCTTCCTTTATCGAGTGCTTAATTCCCAATTCAGAAACATATTTATGATGGCCAACAGGTCCTGCCTGAGGGGTTTGGTTACTTTATTCTTAGCAATTTTAGAAGATGTCCTATAGCAAGTATGGTATTTGCTGTGAATAACAGATCTGTTAGGATAACGTTTTTATGAATTCTTATAATAAATTGTGTCAATAAAACGAGTTATTTTGAAAGATAATATGGATTATTGGCATAATCCCAGAACGTGGCCCATATCAGAGAAGGTAATCAGTAAGTGTTTATGCTCAATGGATCATATGATAAATTCTTTCCACATTATGGGTCTTAATAGATAGCCTTTCAAATGAAGCCATTATAATTTCTTTGACCAGTTCAATATCTCCATCTCCGACTGTAAGACTTGGTAGAAATCATCTATTTCTTCCGCATGGTTCAAAATTGCGAAAGGCGTACGCCAGGGATGTGTCCTAGCTCCATACCTTTTCAACCTCTATGGGCTCTATGAGGAGAAATGTGGCGTCAGGATTGGTGGAAGATCTATTAACAATCTGCGTTATGCAGATGACACAACCCTGCTTGATGAAACTGAGTATGACCTGAAGTGCTTGCTGCAGAGGGTCAAGGACTGCAGCCTTCAGTATGGACTGAAGCTCAATGTTAAGAAGACAAAGATTCTCACCACTGGACCAGTTGGAAGCATCAGGATGGATGGTGAAGAGATTGAGATTGTTAACAACTTTAGTCTGCTTGGCTCCACGGTCAACACTCTTGGCACTAGCAGCCAGGAAATAAAAAAATGTTTTGCAATGGGAAAGTCTGGTGTTAGGGAACTCGCCAAAGTACTGAAGAGCAATGGTGTCACTCTGGAGACTAAGGTGTGTCTGATACAAGCTATGGTCTTTGCAATCACTTGTTATGCATCAAAGAGTTGGACAATGACTAAGGAGGATAGACGGAGAACTGATGCCTTTAAGCTGTGGTGCTGGAGGAGAGTATTGAATGTACCATGGACTGCCAAGAAAATAAACAGATTCATCCAGGAGAGGGTTAAACCATGCTGCTCCTTGGAAGCAAGGATTCTGAGGCTGTGTCTGACATACTTTGGACATTTAAGGAGGGAGAGGTCCTTGGAGAGGGACATCATGCTTGGGTGGGTGGAGGGACGGCACAGAAGGGGAAGGCCCTCTATGAGGTGGATTGATTCAGTGACTGGGGTCATCGGGATGAGTGTGTCAGAGGCAGTGAGATTGGCACAGGATAGAGCAGGGTTTAGGGCTGTTGAACATAGGGTCGCTATGAGTGGCAAGCAATTCAATGGCACATAACAACAACAATTCAATATTGCTGTGCAGTTGTGTTTCATCTTACATTGTAATCTTTGAACATTGTTATAATAAGAAACAATATTCACATGATTTTCCCATGAGTTTTGAATTTCCACAAGTTAAATTATTGAAATAAAGAGTGCTTTCATGGCTCTTTATATCTGTATCTATACTTATATTTATATCTATCTCTTTGCCACAGAGTTGAAATCTACTCATAGCTGGCCACCCTATGAGGCTGTAAATCACATAAGGGGAGATTTTCTGAGGCCGTAAAACACTTAAGAGGAGATGGCCATCCTTCTTCTGAGGAGCTACGGACCAGTTCAAACTGCAAGAGACATACAGTCTTTATATTAGCAGTTCAACTCTTTATGGACTATATCACCAGCTATGCATACCTATTATAGTCACATATACATATACATATACACATCTATCCTCCAGATTGTCAAAAGAATGAACAAATCTGTCTTAGAAGAAGGGGTACCTTGGTGCTCCTTAGACACAAGGATGGTGAAATTCATCTAAAGTACTTTGGGCATGCCAGGAAGAGCCAATCCTTAGAAAAAGACATATTAAAATGTGTTGGTTTGGGGTGACATTGAGTCAACACTTTCTCATATGACCTGATGAAGAACAGATTTTAAACTTGCTCTATTCTGCAGCATCTGTACCATCTGTGATATATATGCTCAAGCCCATTGTTTCAGTCACTGTATTAATCTATTTTGTTGAGGGTCATAATTTTTCTCCACCTTTTACTTTTCCCAACATGATGTTTCTCCAAAGACTGTTTCCTCCTGAAAATATGTCCCAATTAAATATTTTTCCTCAGGGACTCATCCCTTCTAACAACATACCCAAAATGTGTGAGATAAAATCTTACCTTTCTTGATTCCAAGGAATATTCTAGCTGCATTACTTCCAAGATAGATTTTTTTTTATATTCCTTGGAAAAATCATGTTGTATTCAATATTCTTTTCCAACATTGCCATTTGAAGACAACATTTGTAGGGGTTGAAAATTTTAATTTCTTGTTAAAATTTCATTTTATTAAAAATATTGCACAATTTCAATCTATGCCTGAAGTGTATGTAATTGGCTACAATTATATTCTAGTTTGAGAGACTAGTTTGTAGGTTGGGGGAACACAATTAATGTGGTTTATCTCAGAGGGAAAGGCATTCTTGAACTCTAGAGTAAATACAGTAACAACCTATCTCTTCTGGTAACTTCAGATCTCATAACAAAAGTTTACAGAATCTTAGACCTCCACAAGAAAACGACTAATAATTCATTAATTACAAAATGGGCAAGAGATAGGGAAAGAATTTTCACAGAGGAAGACATTTCAATAGCCAACAGACACATTAAAGAACTGCTCAAAATCACTGGCAGTAAGAGAGATGCAAACTATGAAGAAATACCGTCTTACCACAGTAGCAGTATCAAAGTTTAACAGGACAGAAAGCAATAAATGTTGGAGGGAATTTGGAGAGATAGGAACTCTCATACACTGTTGGTGGGATTGTAAAATGGTACAACCACCCGGGAAGGCAGTTTAGTGTTTTCTCAAAAATTTGAACATAGAAACTTCATATGATCCAGCTATACCATGCTAGGAATATAACCCAAGAAAATTAGAACAGAGACACAGACAGATATTTGTACACCTATGTCCATAGCAATATTATTCACAATCACAACAACATGGAAAACAGTCTAAACATCCAGCCATAATGGAATGGATTGAGAAATTGTGGTATATTCATGTGATGGAAAACCACATAGCACTCAGGAGCTACAACTTCAAAAAATACTACACGACTTGGAAGAGAATAGAGAACACTATGCTGAATGAACTAACTCCGTTTCATAAGAATGAATATTGCGTAAGACCATTATTGTAAAAGTAGAAGGATAACTAGTAAAAAGTGTATGGGCGGGGGTCCAAGGAAGGAAGGGGAGAAGTTACAGGGTCACCCAATTTAGTGGATAGAGAGAGGTGGTAAAGGAAATGGGAAACAATCAGTGGGGACCTGAAAAGACAGGGCAATAGTGGGTCTAGTTCAATGGTGATTAATTTATAAAACACAATGTATGGGAATGATTGCATGAAACACAATGTGAAAGAAGGAAGGTGTGTATACAAGTGTATAAAATTTTGTATGCAAACCAATATAAAATATGAATGAAAAATCTAAGTTGACTTTTCATGGTGTTTTCACAGATAAATTTGGTTTTCTATATCATAATTCTGTGGATTTTGAAAAGTAATCTTTCTTCCCTCAATAAGGAAGTTTCCACCATACAGAATACAAGGTAAGACACTCTAGGTTCTCCAAGGTTAGAACCACTGAGTTATCCTCAAGAATGTTCTGCAGAGCCCTTCTGCCTGAAACAAAGAAGCTTGTAGAAGCCCATAATTAAGATTTTCCTAGAATTTGAGGGAAAAATATATGAGGTAGAACTTAAGGTTTTAAGATACTTTCTAATAAGCTATGACTCATTACAATCCTATGAACAACAGATCAGATCCTTGACTTATCCTGGGCCATCTGTACCATCTCCACCATGCTGAGCACATTGTTACAAACCACTGTGTCAATCATTGATGGCTGACCCTTCTTTCACTAATCCTCTGCTTTCTCCAACATGATGCTTCTTTCCAAAGACTAGTTCCTCTTCATAACATATCCAAAGTTTGTGAGATGAAGTCTCACTACTCTTGTTTCTCAGGTACACCTTGGATGCACTTGTTACCAGACAGAGTTGTTTGTTCTAAAAATATTTTCAGTACTTTTCATCAACACATGCTTTTCATGTGACTATTTGGCTCCCATCCTTTGTTTATATTGAAAACATCCATTGAATGCCTCCCTTGTATGACACAGTTCTCATACAAATTCAATACTAAGGTGGTACCCACTGTCCATTTCCCATATCAGAGCCTAGCCGCTTCAGGACTGAATTGTCCTTCATTGTAGCAGTTCTGGTCTCATAGATCATGACTCAAAGTATTAAAATTAATGATAAAAAGAGAGATGAAATAAACTCAGTGAGCTATGTATTTTTTATTATTATTCATTTCAACGAACATTTACAGAGATTTTGGATTTCCATTCATTCATTGATGTAGTCAACAGACTTGTGCTGCTAATCCAAAAGCTATGCTTTTGTGGTAGTTCAAATTCACCAATGGCTGTGGGAAAAAGATTGGCAATCTCCTCCTGTGTGAATTAGAGTCTCGGAAACTCAATAGAGGGTCAGCTATGAGTTGCTTCTGACTCAATGGCAATGAGTTTAAGTGGTAGAGAGAGACAAGTATTAGGCTATTAACTAAAAAGTTGACAGTTCTAATTCACCCAGAGGCACCAGCCCTGCTTCTAAAAAGTCCCTGCCTTGAAAGCTCTATGAGACAGTTCTATGGTCTTCGCATGAAATCACCATCTTTTTAAATGAATTTGACAGAAACTGACAACATGAAGCTCTGATGGTCTTGTGGTAAGGAGTTGTGTTGCCAGTTCAAAGGCAGATTGTTTTAGTCTGCCATCTGCTTCATGGAAAAAAGATGGATAACCTCCTTCTGTGCAATTTGTAGACTCTGAAAAAATACTGAAAAGTCAATTATCATTTGGTTCCGACTTGATGACAATGAGTTTGAATTATGAACATACTCGAAAGACATGTCTTATGAGAATTGATGCCTTTGAGCTGTGGTGCTGAAGAAGAGTGTTGAATATACCATGGACTGCAAGGAGAACAAACAGGTTTGTCCTGGAGAGGGTGAAGCCGGAATGCTCCTTGGATTCAAGGATTCTGAAGCTTCATCTGACATACTTTGGGCATGTTGCAAGGAGAGACTGGTCTTTGAAGAGGGACATCGAGTTTGGGAGAATGGAGAGACAGTGCAGGATAGGAAGACCCTCGATGAGATGGATTGATTCTGTGATTGGGATGGTGGGTTTGAGACGGCAAGGTTGGCACAGGATAGAATGGCGTTTAGGGCTCTTGTCACTATGAGTCGTAAGCTACTCAATAACAAATAACAACAACAATATGATAAATAAAATGCATTTTGAAAAAGAAAGGAAAATCCAGTTGATTCTTATTTGTGATGACTCCATGTGTCCTTGTGTTTCATAGGGTTTTCAATGACTGATTCTTCAAAGCAGATTGTCACACTATTGTTCTGGAACATGTCTGATTGGATTCAAACCATGAGCCTTTGAATTTGTGACTGTTTGCACCATCCAAGAACTTCTAAAATGATTGATGAGTGGTAATTATTATTGTTCTTTTTTTTCCACAGAGTGATGACATTTAAAGCCATTGCTCAGCTGTTTATTCTGGGATGTTCTTGGGGCCTTGGCTATTTTACAGTTGAAGCAATGGGGAAGACAGCTGTATTAGTCTTTGCCTACCTATTCACCACCATTAATGTGCTGCAGGGGGTTGTACTCTTCGTGGTACACTGTCTCCTTAATCGCCAGGTAAGGATAAATATTGTATTGCAATGGGAAAGTCTGCTGTTAGGGACCTCTCCAAAGTACTGAAGAGCAACGGTGTCTCTCTAGAGACTAAGGTGCATCTGATACAGGCCATGGTCTTTGAAATCATTTGTTATGCATCAGAGTTGGAAAATGACTAGGGAGGATAGGGGAATTGATGCCTTTGAGCTGTGGTACTGGAAAAGAGTATTGAGGGTACCATGGACTGCTAGGAAAACAAACAGATTCATCCTAGAGAGGGTTAAACCAGGATGCTCCTTGGAGGCAAGGATTCTGAGGCATCATCTGACATACTTTGGTCATGTTGTAAGGAGAGACCGGTCCTTGGAGAAGGACATCATGCTTGGGAGGGTGGATGGCAGGCACAGGAGGGGAAGGCCCTCTAGGAGATGGATTGATTCGGTGACTGGGGTAATCAGGATGAGTGTGTTGGAGACAATGAGATTGGCACAGGACGGAGCAGAGTTTAGGGTTCTTGTACATAGGGTCATGATGAGTCACAAGTGACTTGATGACACTTAACAACAACAACAACAACAACAACAACAACAATAAATTTTTCTTCTCTTGCTAGATTGTTGTTGTTAGGTGCCACCAAGCTGAGTACCACTCACAGCAACCCTACAAACAACAGATGGAACCTTACTTTGTCTTGCACCATCCTTAAAATCTATCATGCCCAAGTCCACTGTGGTAATAACTGTGTCAATTCATCTCTTTGAGGGTCTTCCTCTGTTTGGCTGACTTTTCACAGTATCATGTCTCTCTCTAAGGAATAGTTCCTCTTCCAAACATGTCTCAGAAAATGAAGTGACGTTTCACCATCCTTGACTCTAAGAAGCACTGCCATTACGGTTCAAGTGCGACTTGTTTCTTCTATTGGCAGTCCAAGCTATATATCTTCATTTTCACCACATTCCAAAGGCATTGCTCACATTTTACTGACTCGCTGCAGACATTCTCACCCTTCTCCAGGTTTTTTCTTGGTTCTCATCTTCTCTTCATCTTAACATATCTCTTAAGAGAATTATTACTGTCAGAATAAGATTAATGAAGTTGCAGTAACCAATAGCTCTCTTTTGCTGTTTAAAAGGGGGAAATGAGGAGTAGAATTTGCATATGAGGTATCTGAGTTGGAACTAATTCAACAGACTCTATAGAAAACATCATATTCTAAGTTATATTTTAGCTCTTGTGGACTTGTTTTCATTTTCTTCATCTTCAACATGAACTTCATCAGATCTACTGGTTGTGTGTTCCACAGTTGATTCCTGACCTTTCTTTGACCAATGATTCAGAGATTCTCCACTGTCTCTTTGTACCAATATATTAAATGTTATTCCTATGTATTCCATCCAAGGAGGTCCACTTGTGTAGTCATAACTTATATGGTTGATTAGACAAATAATACTAAATGAGATAGTATAATGAAAATATTTCAGCACATCCTTGAGAAATAGTAAGTTCTTATTAAAAGACATTATTATAACTTCATTCTTCACATAAATTACAATATTTTACCTAGTTTTGTCTTTTCAAGTGAGTGGAATTAGGAGTAACGATTGTAGCTGCAAACAAACTAGCTTAAAGCTTTGTCAATTCTTTTCCAATGTTTTCCCTCATCTATAGTATTTTTATATTATATTATTTCTATTTTATATCTGAGCTCTTATCAAATATGTTTTTTACTCTTTAGAAAATATTTTATGCACATAATATGGCATAATGCCACTGTTATAAAAGAAGACTGACATAGGGGTTGAGAGGGAGACTGAGAAAGATGGGATAAATAATGAGTACTGCATTGAAACAGATGAGGGAGAGAAATGTTTAAAAGGGATATATGATTAGATATTATTGTTATGACACGAGTCCAGAACAAAGGTAATATAGTGGAGTGGACTTGGAGAGAGGGATTGAATAACAATGAAAGAAGTTTTCTTTTACTTTTCAAAAAGAAAAGTGAATTGGGGGAGGGGTGAGCAGGGAGAAAAGTGCAACAATGAAATCCAAAGTCTCTGTGAACGTTCATTAAAATAAAAATTTTAAAAAAGAATTTAATTTTTAGAAGGTTTCATTCATCTATTTTATCAGATAACTGTTAAGAAGAGCTATAGAAAAGTTGGTGTACAGGGAGAATAAATCAGGTGAGAAGAATGGGGAAAGTAGAAAACTAACTGATAGACAACAAACATTTGCTGGGGTGAGTTAAGGGAAGGAAAATGTGGAATGAAATTCGGACGATCAGACATTGTGAGTATTGTAAATAATATTATAGAATAAAATATGCATGAATGATTGGTTGGGGTGGGGAAATCCAGTATGCTTTGCAAACTTGCACCCAAAATACAACTTAAAAATATAAAAATGTATGTGTTAAAATTACATATTCTGAAAAAATAATGCTCTCTGAATAGAAATCAAGAATTAACATTTTTTAAAACAATACTATTTTGTGAAACTTTACAGAAAGGATAGGTTTTCACTTATTCACCCCCTCCTTTCTCCCTTATTCACTACATAATGTATGTCAGTAAAGGAATTCTATTCAAAATGAAGTAGAATGTTCAAGATCTGAAAAAATAACTGACTACATGAACAGTGTCCTCATGTATACCTAATATGGGTACGGAGATTGAATAGGTATAAAGGATACAACCATAACACATATATTTCCTTATTTTAAACCAGACTTTGTTACCTTTTTCTGTTGGACAAAAGCTTCTTGATCTAGATAGAAGTTTCTTACAGGCACTTGTTGTAGGATTACTATTGTTCCCAATGTTAAACATTTTTTTAAATATTTTAAACCTCATCTGCATTTTCTACTTTGGGGGATTTTTTTCAGATATTTCCCCATTCACATTTTTGTTTAATACAATCATTTCTATACATTGAATCTTATAAAAGTAATCAAAGAAAAAGTTTTTAAAAGTAATCACAGTTGATCTATGCCCACTATATCCCATCTTTTCAAATCCTCACTGGATCTTTCCTAATTCCGTCTCCCCTTCCCTCCATTCACCAAACTCTCTGTGTTTTGATGACTCCACTATGATAGGACCCCCTCCCCCAGATCCTCCCTCTTTGGGTAGTCATACACATTAAACATCCTTCTGTTTTTACAATAATGGTCTTATGCCATATTTGTCCTTATGAGCCTTAGTTAATTTACTCAGTATAATATTCTCTATCCTCTCCCGTGTTACACAGTATTTTCCAAAATTGTTGCCCCCAAGTGCTAAGGAAAGGCATTTTACTGTGGCTAAGAACCAATTTTATACCACAAAGAATAATTCATTTTCATCCACACAGTAAAATGTTTTTGGATAGCCAATAAAGCGCAGATAAACATCTTTCTTGTATTCTTTGCTTTTAGCCAAGATCCATCTGACATCAATTAGAGCATCCCTCATTTTACTGTCTCTTTTGAATCCAGCTTGAATTTCTGGCAGTTTTCTGTTTAATGTACTGTTCCAGCTGCTTTTTCATAAACTTCAGCAAGATTTTACTTGTAAATTGAATTAATTCTATTATTCAATACTTTCCACATTCAGTTGCTGTTGTTAGGTGCTGTTGAGTCAAGTATGATGCATAGAAGTCCCATAAGCAATAAATCTAAGCCTTAAATGGTGAGCCATCCTTATCATCCCTGACACACTTGAACCCCTTGCCACAGTCTACGTATTAGTCCATCTCATTGAAGTTCCTCCTCTACTTCACTTGCCCTTCATCACTCCAACAATGATATCTCTCTCAGAGAAGCTTCTCCTAACAACATGCCCAAATTATGTGAGATGAAGCTTTGCCATCTTTGTGTCTAAGGCGTACCCTGATTGTACTTCCTCTAAGACGTTTCTGTGTGTTCTTTTAGCAGTTCATGGGATAGTCAGCACTCTTCTCCAACAAACCATACCCAAACGTGTCAGTCATTCTGTTGTCATCCTTATTCATTGTCCAACTCTCAGATGTATAGCAAGTGATTGTAAAAACCATGGCCTGAATTAGGTATACTTTAGTCCTCTAACCGACATCATTGCTCCTTAATAATTTGGAAAGATCTTTGACTGCAGACATTCCTGAATTGAATAAGTATGGGGGGAAAGTTTATAACCCTGACATGCGATGTACTCCTTTACTGATTTTAAGCTATGAATTACAACCTTGTTCTTTGTTTATTTTTATTTCTTAACCTCATTCTCTTTGAACAACTGCTTCTTGTTCTAGGTGTTAGTTTCACATAAGCACAGTTAAATGCTTAGGGATTCCTATTGTTTTCAACATTAGCCTTAATTTGTTGTGACTCACAGAGTCAAATGCTTCTGCTTTGTAAATAAAGTCCGAACATTCTTCAGGTTTTCCTTACTTTCAACCAAGACCTATCTGACATCAGTCATGATATTGCTCATTTCGTGTCATCTTCTGAATTCCTCTTGAATTTCTGGCAGTTCTGTTTTTTTCCAGTCTTAAAAAAACAAACCAATCTTCAGCAAGATTTTATTTGCTTGTAATATTAATGATACTCAGTTTTGTCTTCTTTGGAGAGACCACTTACAGTGAGCCTGGCATTTAGGAGCGAGAGAATAAGCTCCCTTTTAAATGTTGTTATTGTTAAGTGGCATTGAGTCAAGTATGGTTAATACCGATCCTGTGAACAACAGATTTTAATCTTGTCCTATCCAGTGTTATCCTCAAGATTTCTGGCATATGTGAGCCCTTGCAGCAGTCACTGTGTCAATCAATCTGGTTGAAGGTCTCTCAAACATGATGAAGCTTAATTTTATAGATGTGGAAACAATGTGAGCATTGACAACAGTGTAAAGAAAACCAACTAATATTACAGCAATGTATAGGGACTGGCATGTGCTTTTATAGTCTCCCATTCTAAACACCTTTCTCCTGCCAACTTCCAGGTACGAATGCAATACAAGAAATGGTTTAATTGGATAATTCGGAAAGATGTTGAAACAGAAAGCACTGAGATGTCTCGTTCTACTACACACACCAAGATGGTAAGATCTACCTGTCAACAACACCTAGGGGTCATTTGAACACAGCATCTTCTGCTACCAGGAACTTTCTGGTTCTCTTATCTGAAAGAAAAGAGAAACTGCACTAAGTTCTTATCATAGTGCAGCTGAAGTTTCTGTTTGTTGAGACAAAAAATGAAAAATTATTACTACCTCTTCCTCCTCCCTCTTTTCTTTCTTTTTCTCTATCTCCCTCTTTTCCTTCTCTTTTCTTTCTTTATCCTTCCCCTCTACAGTCTTTTCATGAATATCTAGAGATATTTTATCCAAATGGCACCATTTATTTAACAAATGTTTCTTGAACATCTAGAGTGTCACTGTTTTAGATGGTGATGCGAATATTACAATTTTGATTGATCCCCCCAGCTCTTATCACTATTTAAACGGAGCTTTGCATGGACCCCAGATCAACTGCTTTCAGTTTGCTTACCTTGAACAACTGACTTAACTCTGTACCTCAGTGTCTTCATTTATACAATCAGACAGTAACACTATTGATCTCTTATAAGGACTGACTGAATTCATTTAGGTGTTTAGAATTTTCCTAGTACACAAGAAACATAAAATGCTTGTAAAAATACACTGAATGAGGACCATCATCATTGATGCTATTTTGGAAAAAAAGTTATAGAGTCAGATAACGGGATGACTTTGGAGATCATTGATTCTTCGAGAGGGTCTAGTTTTTCACCTCTAGATATACTAGTTGCTTTAGTTACTATATTTTATGCAAATATTATATGTGTTCTATTTGGGTGGGGTTTTTAAAATAAAATTTATACTGGTTTTATACTGGTTTACTTACAAAGTTCGTACACATTGTTTTTCATACCCATTTCTAATGGATCTTTCCCATTTCCTTTGCAAACCACACATTCACAACAACAGCAAAAATAAACAAATATAACACACAGGATATTTGCATAAAATATAATGTGAACTTCACAGTCTCCTGTGTGTTCATGTGCATTATATGTATGTGTGAGGTATTGATTGTGTATGTTGAAAAAACCTTCAAAACATTCATTAGCATTGAGGTGAAACTAACTTATACCTGGCCCTCCAGTAAATTTTCAGAGACTTTAAATGACATGAGAAAAGATTCTTCATCTTTATCCCTATGAGGTCCTGGTGGATTTAAACCGTTTACCTTCAAGTTGGCAGTGTAACCTCCTACCCACTAAGCCATCAGAGCTCCAGTATATATGGGAGCATATTAAATGGTAACTACTGTAATGTTAGGAAATAACTGTCTCTTCAAACTTCTCAGATGATACAAATAGTTATTTTACTTGACTTTTAACCGAAAAGCTGGAGGTTCAAACTCACTCAGAGACATCTCAAAAGAAAGGTCTGATGACTTAATTCTAAATAGCCAGCCATTGGAAACCTTGTGGAACACAGGCCTACTTTCATGCACATGGGGTCACCAAGAGATAGTGTTGACATGACAGCAACTGGTTTTGCTTTGTAAATTCTCTTCAACTTTTCTCTATATTGTCTCCACCTATTAGGAGGAACAGGAAGTCATCAGAATTAGTCACATGAAAGGCAACAGAGGCACTGCATTTACCCCACCACAACCAACATATCCCATCCACGTTTCTTGGCTAAAAAAGAAGTGATCTACTCATCGAGGATGCCCATTGTGGTCACATGTGAATTGTACAAATGCATTTCTTCTCTGAAAAGTCTTGACTCCGTCCCTTACTTTGGCCTCTATCTGCATAGAAAGAATGGAATCAATGTAGAACACTCAGAACTTCCACTAAAGGGTCAGAATCACCAAGAAATGTTTTATTTTGAAGGGAGAGGGGGAATAATCTCACTTCATTATCATTCTTGTACACACACACACACACACACACACACACACACACACACCTGCCAGTTCTAACAAAGTCCACAGAGATAATGCTCCATCTCCTTCTCTGGTGAGTTGTGTTTAGGGTCTTAAAAGCTTATGAAAAACCTTTGGTTTCTTTCTGTCCAGGACAAAGAGGAGTGGGGTGGGGGGTGATGGAAGGAGCAAAGCTGTACAGAAACAATTAGTCCAAAGACCTAATAGCTCAAGTAAACCTCAAATTCAATGACCCTGAGACTATGTGGCCCAAAGAGAACTGCTGACCACTTTTAAAGGGTGCAAAGTAGAAAATCCTGGGTAGAGTGTGCTAAAATAAGGGGTAGCGGATAAACCCTGAAAAACACAGGACAGATTTACAGGTGCCATAGAGACTAGTGGAACTAATCAAGACTATAGACTGTAGTTACCCTTGAACCTGTGGCTCAGTGTTCACACAAACAATGGACCGGCTTAAAAGATAAACCAGGAAGGCATTCATTCCTTACAATTACCAAACGTATAAGATCAAGAGGACAGCATTTGCCCAAAACACAAATGGATAGGAAAGAAGGATGAATAAAGATGAAGATCACAAGATGAAGTAGGAAGACTGTGATTTTTTTTTCCTGGCTATTTTAATTAATGTTATAAAATATGCATGAATGACAATGGAAAACAAATATGCTTTGTAAACTCTCATTCAAATCACAATAAAAAAGAGGAAAAATTTGTCAGTTCAAGAATTTCTAATTATGTGGTTCAGTTACATTGATCATATTCTTCTAGCTGTGCAATAACTCTTTCCTTTTCCAAATTGTTCAGTCCTCAGTACTTTGTGCTCACTGTCTTTAAGTTTCCTATTTGAACTTTGAAGTTGCTATTGTCATTTTGATCCCGTATACTCAAGTTAAAATAAGTTACTTGTCACAAGCCTTGAGCCTTAATTCATTACTTGCAGACATATTATAACAGCCAATTATAATTTGCTGATTAAGTAATTCATAGTAATAATTGAAATTTATCTACATTGAAATTCATAAATTCATCACAACATATTGATTCATTAATTCATAGTAAGCATCAAACTGTTAATTGCAATTTTTCTGCATTGCAATTCATAAATTCATATTAACATATTTCACAGCATAGTGGGACACCACTAAGAAAGCCTAACTTGTTTCATTGGCCTTCATAGCCACTGGTGTGGTCAGAGTCCTTGGCTTATTCAGCAGTTCACACCAGTTTACCAGTGTGACCTGGGTCCGCAGCTCACAGTCATCAGTGTGGGCTGGGTCCACAGCCCACAGTCACCAGTGTGGCCAGGGTCTGTAGTTCAAAGCCATTGGTGTAGCCAGGGTCCTCATCTGTCTTAGCAGCTAATGTCCATCAGTGTGACCAGAATCCTCAGCTCTGAAAAGAGCCTTTGGGTCTTTGGCTCTGAAAAGGGCCTTTGGATCTTCAATGTTCAGCTCAGTGTTCAGCTCATTGTCTTCAGAAAAAGTGCAGAGAGATCTGCTGGGCACAAGCAGAGTTTATCAACTTTGGCTTTTCCAGTTCACATTATGGTGAGGGAAGTGGGGCATGCTGGGACATGTTGAGTAACAATATGAGTTTGACAGATCATGTTCTATACACGTTATGTTCCCTTAGCAAAAAGGGCAGTAACAAGTTACA